GCTTCCTCCTCATGCTTCTCCTCACGGTCTGCTTCCTCCTCATGCTTCTCCTCACGGTCTGCTTCCTCCTCATGCTTCTCCTCACGGTCTGCTTCCTCCTGCAGTGAGAAGAGGCTGCGCTTCTTCTTCTCCTCCCTGCTGAGGACTCTCCCAGGTGTTCAGCGGCGTCGCAGGTCCGAGGCGGCCCAGATGGGGGCGCTGCAGGACAGACAGCCCTCAGAACCATGGAGGGACTTTGACAGGTGAGTGTGGGGTCTGCGGCTCTGAGCCGGCGCCCCATCAGACACGGTGAGGTTAAACCCTGGGTGTCCCCGCAGGTCCAAGGTCTACACGGCCGACCTGGAGTCGGCGCTCCACTACCTGCTGAGGGTGGAGCTGGCCGCCCACAGCTCGCTGGAGGGGGAGGAGCTACAGGTCTTCAAGGAGTTTGTCACTGTGGTTGCCAAGGTAACGGAGGTTTAGGCAGATGTTTTCTGGAAGGTTTAGAGTGGACCCTGCTGCTGGAGGACGTTCTGCTGACCTCTGCTAGAACCTCAGAACTTCCTCTCCATCCTGATCTAACCGCGCTCTAGATAGCCTAGTTCTACGTTATCAATCTAAGATGGCTGCCGTTCAGTCTGTCTGTCGGAGGGACGGTTGGTAAAATGCTTCCAGCTGATTGGGTGAAGTCCCAGCTAGTTCCCGCCTTCCATACTATGCTTTCAGCCAATCAGAGCCACCATCAGACTAGGATTCATCTGCAGTTCCTCCAGCAGATAAATCAAACTTTTTTCATTTCCTGTCAGAAGAAAAGCATCAAAAGCACAAACTGCTTCTTTGATCCTTTTTAAATCAGAAATAGTTGCTATCGTAGCTAAAATGTGGCGTTATTGACAGGTGCGTCCTCCAGCGTAGCCATGTTTGCTGTGCCCCGCCAAGGCCCTTCGGACCATCGCCATGCCTACGTGGCGTGACGATGGTCCGACCCGCTGGCTGCTCGGAGACGGACGTATTAGCGGGAGTCTTTCAAGATGGATTTGTTGAGAGATGAAAAGTCGGAGGGTTATTGCTGATCAGCAGGTTCTGGAGAATCCTGGGTTCTGGTCCTGTTGGGCCTCTCCTGGGTGTTTGGTACCGTTCTGACCAGAGGGAGATCCGGTCCGGATCCTCTGCGGCGTTCCTCAGGGATCAGTTCTCTGGCCTTTGTTATTCTGGGATGGTTCCATCCTCTCCTGCTGCCGTGTCTCCTTCATGGTGTCCTGACGGTTCCCGGTTCCCCCCCCCGTGTCTCCTTCATGGTGTCCTGACGGTTCCCGGTTCCCCCATCGTTCCCTCATCCCCCCCCCC